TTCTATCCCTAGGAATTCTCTCTAACAGCTTCCCAACCACCAATGTGAGACTCATCGGTCCATTGTTTTCTGAATTATCTCTATTTCCCTTCTTGAACAGAGGAACAACATTGATTAATCACCAGTCTTCTGGGACCTCTCAATGGATAGTGAAGACAAAGATCTTGGTCAAGGCTCCAATAATCTCCTCTCTTGCCTCTCTCAATAAACTGGGGTAGATACCATTGGACCCTGGGGACATACCTACCTTAATGCCCTTCAAAAGACCCAACACCACTTCTTTCTTGATCTCAAAATGCCCTTGCATATTGGCAAGCTCCACACAAATCTTACTATCCTCCAGGGAATGCTCCTGTTCCAAGTGGCTCTGACTCCCAAGAGAACTGAAGCCATTGTGAATGATGTCTTCTCATAGCCAGTCATCGTTAAAAGGTTTCTTCATCAATCTTAGTAATTGTCATGTTTGCTAGTTCATTGAAATTCACTCATATTGCATTCATATTTTTTAATTCAGCCAACTGATATGCGTTCTCATAGAACATAGAACAGTACAGCACAGGAAGAGGCCCTTTGGCCCACAATGTTGTGCCAAACATGACACCAAACTAAAATTGTCCCTTCTGACTGCCCATGGTCCATATCTCTCCATTCCTTGCTTATTCACGTGTTCCTCTGAAATCCACTTAAATGCCCCAGCATATCTGCTTCCACCACCACCCTTGGCAGTGCTTTCCAGACACCTACCACTTTATGTAAAAGACTTACTCTCACATCTCCTTTGAACTTTCCCTCTCTTACCTTAAATGCATGCCCACTAGTTTTAGACATTTCAGCTCTGGGGAAAAAATAGATTCTGACCGTTAAACCCTATCTATGCCTCTCATAATTTTATAAACTTCTATCAGGTCTCTCCTCAGCCTCTGCTGCTCCAGAGAAAATAACCCTAGTTTGTCCAGCCTCTCATTACAGCTCCTACCATCTAATTTAGGCAGCATCCTGAAAAACCTCTTCTTCATCCTCTCCAAACCTTCCACATCCTTCCTGTAATGTGGCAACCATACGTGAATACAATACTCTAAGCGTGACCTAACCAAGTCTTATAAAGCTGCAACATGACATCTTAACTCTTGTACTGAATGCCCTGACCAGTAAAGGCAAGCATGTCATATGCCTTCTTTACCACACAATCTACTTGCATGGCTGCTTTCAGGGAGCAATGGACTTGAACCCCAAGATCCCTCTGTACATCAATGCTGTTAAGGATCCTGCCATTAACTATTTACTTTCCCTTAACATTTGATCTCCCAAAGTGCAACACCTCACACTCGCCCAGATTAAACTCTATCTGCCATTTCTCCATCCATATTTGCAGCTGATCTATACCCCACTGTATCCTTTGACAACCTTCAACACTATCTACAACTCCCCCAATCTTTGTGTTGCCTTCAAACTTATTAACCTACCCACGTGCGTGTTCATCCAAGTCATTAATATGTGTGACATACAGCAGTGGTGCATGTATGGATCCCTGCTGAACTCCACTAGTCACAGACCCCTAGCCAGATAAAACATCCTTCCACCACTACCCTCTGTCTTCTATGGTCAAGCCAATTCTGAATCCAAATGGCCAAGTCACCATGGATACCATGCACCTTAACTTTCTCAATGAGCCTATAATAAGGGACCTTGTCGATAATCTTACTAAAAACCAGGTAAACAACATCCACTGCTCCACCCTCATTGATAATGTTCATCATCTCCTCAAAAAAAAATTAAGTTAGTTTAAGACATGACCTGCCCTGCACAAAACCATGCGGATTGTCCCTAATTAGGCCATGCTTATCAAAATGCATGTAAAATTCTATCCCTAAGAATCTTCTCCAATAGGTTCCCAACTGCCGATGTGAGACTTAACGGTCTATAACTTCTTGGATAATGCCTATTTTCCTTCTTGAACAGAGGAACAACATTGTATTCATACTAGCCACTGGGGATGTCCTTGAGGACTGGTGAGTAGCCAAAGATCTTGGTCAAGGCCCCATCAATTTCCTTTCTCAATAACCTGAGGTAGATTTCATCACGCCCTGGGGACCTATTCACCTTAATGCACTTCAAGAGACTGAACACCACTTTTTTCTTGATCTCAAAATGCTCTAGCATATTAGCACACCTCACACTTATCTCATTATCTTTCTTGGTGAATACCAATGCCAAGTACTCATTTAGGATCTCACCCATATCCACTGCCTCCAAGCACAAGTTTTCTCCTTTAACCTCCAGTGCTCCTACCTCTCCCTAGTTATGTTCTTGCCTTTAATGTATGTATGAAATGCCTGGGATTTTGTTTGACGCTCCTGGTCAAGAACATTTCATGGTCCCTCCTTGGTCTCCTAATTCCCTGTTTGAGTTCTTTCCTACTTGCATTATATTCTGACAGGCTCTGTCCAATTTCAGCTTTCTAAACCTTACATATGCTTTTTTTCTGTTTTTGGCTAAATTCTTAACCTGCCTCATCATCCAAGGGTCCCATACCTTGCCATGACTGTCTTTCCTCGTTTCTGGAACATGCCAGTCATGAACTCTGATCAGTAGTTTAAACAACACTCACATGTCAAATATGGACTTACCCAATATTGCGGAGTTGGGTAGAGTACTTGTGGATTGGAAGGCAGGACATTAGAATTTGGTGTTTGTAAAATATTAACGTTTATATAATGTTGGGGGGAAAGCAGTGTGTGGTCGCTTTAAAAGATGACATGCTTTTTCTAGGCTTGAAAAAAAAATGAGTAGCTTGTGGGTTTGCAGGTGCATAGAGCACCGGAATTGTAACATTCGTATCAAAAGGCTGGATGGTTAGCAGGCCAAGCTGCAGTTTTGTTTTGTCATCAAGACAATCAGGTCTGATTTTAGCCAATTAACTTAAACCAGGCACTTAGATACGAAAAACCAATTGAATTTAAATCTGATGGTTTTGACGACATAGGACCAATCTTATTGTAAGAAATTGATATGTTATCAAGGGTATAAAAGATAGGCAGAGTTACAACATCAGCAGAAAATCAACTGCCATCTGATAAGAGGTCAGCTGTCTCAGCTCTTAGAGAAAGCATTATCTAATTAATAAAGGTACCATGGTGCTCTTTGCTAATATTCCAGACAGAAGAATTCATAGAGAACATTCCTGACAGAAGATGAATGGAGATGGCACGGAACATTCTGGAAGACGTAACCTGGCTGCAATTTTGAGAGACTAAATTCTAATTTTTAAATTTTATTTTATATAGGCAGGATTCATACTTATTGGAACAGCATACCATTAGAATCTTGTTTTATTTAGAAATGGTTAGTAGTTAGAAGGGGTATTCAGTTTGTTAATAGTTTAGTTTGTTCACTGTTAGAGTTAGATAAATAAATTGTTACTTGGTGGTTATAAAGAGAGTGTGTCAGGGGTTTATTTTTATTTAACTACTCCTTTACACCAGATTGGGGCTCTTTTAACAGATTATAGGATGAGGTGCCATCTCTCTGGATGTTTCGGTTATGGTTATCAGAGGGGGGTTGACTTCTGATTTATAACACCCAATAACAATTGCTCCCAATTAACTCCCCCTAGCTCCTGTCTAATACTGTCATAATTTTCCCTCCCCCAACTTAGTACCTTCCCGCAAACTTATCCTTATTCATAGCTATCTTAAAACTTATGGAATTGTGATCACTGTTTCCTAAATGCTCTCCCAGTGTAAAGTCAGTCACCTGGTCAGGCTCATTAGACAATACAAGTCTAGTATGGCCCCTCCTCTAGTCTGAATATCCACATACTTTTTCAAGAAACCATCTTGGATGCACCTAACAAATTCTGTCCCAGCTAAGCCTCTTGCTCTAAGGAAGTCCCAAGCTAAAGTCACCCACCATGACAACCTGTTGTTAATTGCATCTTTCCATAATCTGCCTGCACATTTGTTTTTCAATGTCTCGGTGGTTGTTGGGGGCCCTATTGTATAATCCCATCAGAACTGCACCCATCTTACTTTTAAGCTCTACTCATATTGCCTCAGTGGATCAGCCCTCCCGTTTGTCTTCTCTAAGTGCAGGTCTGACATGCTCCTTGATTAATAATGCAGCTCCTCCACCTTTACCTCCCTATCTTGTCGAAAACATCAAAACGCTGAAAAGTTGCACAGCAAGTCCTGCTCCCCCTTCAACCAGGTCTCTAAAATGGCCATAACATATTTCCATGTACTGACTGAGGCTCTAAGCTCATCTGCCTTACCAATAACGCATTTTCCATTGAAATAAACAGATTTCAGCCTATCAGCCTCATTGTGTTCATTAACCTGTCCCTGACTGTCCTTCCTCTTCTGTTGAGATGACAAGTGAAATCTATTGACTTTGATGTCCAGTTCAGGTGGCAGATGTGAAATTTCACCTTTTCATGATTCTTGTGTATCATCTGGCACTGAGCTGCAATTCTGAAATACCATCTTTTCTCTCATGTCTCTGAGGGAGCAGCCAGGTAGTTCTTGGATATTAATACGGTCATTCTGCAATTCTAGATAACCCATTCTATCACTTCTTCCTCATGTCTAAATTGAGCTTTGTACTTGTTATTTTAACTTGAAAACATCATGCTAGATTATCACACAAGTTTTGGCAATTGGCTAAGTGATTCTGCCAGAAGTGGTGGACAGAAAACCTGAAAAGGTCCCTGCACATGCCTTTAAATTAATGATAAATAATTAATCACTGAAAACTACCGTCAACTTCTACATAATGCTCATGTACTTCGCATATCAACATATACATGAATACTTACAATATTTGCTTTTTTTCTATAACATTGAAATCTAGTGGAGTCCTAGGCTAATCAAAATATCAGTTACATCTATTTATGTAAATCAATTATAAAGACTTAAGCGGTACTTTTACTTATTCAGTGAAGCCTTAAAGCTGAAAGCATGATCTGCAATTTCAACAAATTATAAATATAATAATTTACCTACCCATCAATCAGGGCTGTATTTTTCATTAACTGCTCAGCTCTCTCTTGATAAGAAGGTATAGCTGTATGTTTTTCAAAACATTGCATTAAACTCAGCAACAGTAGGACATTCAGAAATTTTAGCAACATTTCTACAGGACTTTTAATAATTCTCACAACTACAAGTCGCTCCTCGATGTTTGAACTTCCCGTTAAGGTGTCGGAAGTTTATAACAATGGCTTTCTGTTACAGGAAACAGTTCCTTTGTATTTCTTGGCAACACAAAAATAATGGCCGAAATGGCATATCCTGTTAATATACATTACGCTTTGATATACAAAATCAGGTGGGGTGCAACACAAGCTTAACTGTTTTTGTTCGAAGAGATTTCTTTTTGATCCAGCAGCTGAACTATGATATTCAATTGGTTTCTGCTCCTGCAAATAGATTCCAGCTTTCAAGACCCTCTTTGTCAGATTTCAGAATACACTTGGGAACATAGGAACAGGAGGCAGCCATTCAGCCCCTCAAACCTGTTGAATCATTCAATAAGATTATGGCTAATCTGTGGCCTAACTCCACATACCTGCCTTTGGCCCTTATGCCTTAACACCTTCACTTAACAAAAATTTACCAATCTCAAATTTAAAATTAACAACTGATTCAGCAACACTGCCATTTGTGGAAGAGGTCCAAACATCTACCATCTCTTGTGTGTAAACTGCTTCTGAACATCTCTCCTGAATGGTGTGACCCTAATTCTCAGCCTATGCCCCCTAGTTCTAGAATCTCCAACCAGTGGAAATAGTTTATTTAGCTATGCTGTTTTTTCTTGTTAATATCTTGAACACTTTGATCAGATCACGCCTTAATCTTCTAAATTCTGGAAATAACAGGCCTAATTTGTAAAATCTCTGCTCATAATTTTAATACTCAGATTTCAGAAGTTTTCTTGTAAACCTATGTTGTACACCCTCCAAGACCAATATATCCTTCCTAAGGTGCAGTGCCCAGATCTGCTCACAGTACTCCAAGTGAGGTCATTTGTATGACAAACAGAAATTAGTGAACAGGAACAGGCCCTTTGGCCACCACGTTTGTACACAACTTCTGCATTCTAGCTCTCCAGTCCTCTGGATATAAATGCCAGCATTCTATTAGCTTTCTTGATTATTTTCTGCACCTGTTCAAGACATTTTAAAGATCTATGCACCTGAACCCCCACGTCTCTTTGGAATCCACTGTATTTAACTTCATACCATCCAGAAGGTATCCCAATCTCTCCTTTCATCAGTCCAAATGGATAACCTCACACTTACTTACATTGAATGTCCTTCTTGTCCTTTGTGATTTTATGTGACTTTGATATACTTCATGATTTAAAAATTCACAAAGATTTCGTATAAATTTTGCTAAAGGGTTTTCATGTCTGTCCATGTGGATCAATTGGGGATGAAATGAACATTGATGAGATAGATGAAGAAAGCAGCACTTATACTCTCTAAAACCAGTTCAAGGTTTTCTCTAAAATATGTTTTAAAATTTTAATGTATTATTTTGCAGAGCACTACTATATGTTTAAAATACATAGTCTTACATTTATTTTTAACATTATTTGAATATTGTTTAAGTTTTTGACAAGTTTCAAAACTCAGGTTCAAGCACTTCTGTCACGTTAGCTGATGTCACCAGAATTTTGTATTTGCCAACTGCTTCCCATTTCAGTTTATAAAATAAGTACGTCCTGTAATGAAGCTGTGAAATAAGGGGGACACACAGGGTCAGATAACATATGTAAAGCTTTCAAAAAAATTAATGGCTTAGGACATGAATGAAACAAATCAGACATGTCATTCTCACTGGATACATGAAAACATTTTATAGTTAGGAATAGCACTGAGAAATATTTTGCTTCTTAAAAACAGCTTTTAGTGTAGGGCAAAAGTTGCTAAATCTAGTTCAAATGTTGCAATAGAAATGACATTTACATTCAAATTTTGGATTCTATGCAGGAATTTTCAATGCATGTACATGTAGTTTGACCAAAGTAGAACATATTTCTTCCCCCCACATACGGATGCATTCAGCCAACAGGTTTAATCAATTTCCCACTGTTCAAGCTGTGGGCAATGCCCACCTGTAAAAATTATAAAAAGTATAATTTTAACTATAATAGGTAATGAAGCTTTTGAACAGTTACAGCCGAAATTCAACAACCAAGTCAAAGCTGAGGGACATAATAAAAAATGTAGTTAAAGGAAAGAGAAACAAAGAGATATGAGAACAGAGCTAGTATGTTGAATTGGGACTACTGGTAATGGAGAATAAACAATGACATGTCCGGTTGGGCTAACTGGCTTCTTTCCATGCTGCTAAGTAATCCTACGGTCACAACACAGACCTGAATAAGCAGCACTTAACTCTTTGTTAAGAACTGCATTTGGAGACAACATTATGGATAAAAAAACAGATAAACTAAACAGAATGTATACTGTTCATTTTTTAAGACAAAGATTTATTACTAAATTACAAATGGAATATTGAATAAAACATAATGGATGACAAACATTACAAGTAAAATAAATTAATCTGATGTTACACAACGTTAAGTAGTACAATAATTACAGAGGTACTACAGGTCTGGTTTTATTAACACAGAAAAGCTTGATCAGTTCTACAGTAAGAGATCCATAGAGGTTTTGGCATTAAGGCATGCAGCTTAACGTGCAGATCAAACTTGGATACACACTCCTACACGCACACACTCATACAATCCTATTATTTAAAGATACTTGTCAGTCTTCTAAAATGCTTTGGCTAACAAAATGTTTTAGTGTTGTTGGTGACATTGGCGGGGGGTGGAGAAAGTACATGTATTCAAAATAATTCTTTAATATCAAATGGCACGTACGTTACATTTACTTATAAGCTTCTGTATCCACTTCATGTATCAAATTTTAAACTTTCCTTGTACAATCTTGGATCTTTAACAATTATATATTATTTTAATTAAGTGCTTTCAAAATGTCCAAATATGGTACCAGTAGCCATCTTATGAAACTTTCATTTAATACCTTTCATACATTTTGGAGATACAGTATGAGCATAGAATAACACAAACCAAAAAGCATAATGTCTGATAAGAGAAACAATAACAGGAATAAAAAATACATTTGTAATAGGATCTAAAAAACTGCAGACTAAACCTTTAAAATTAAATTCATTAATGTCTCACAAAAACGAGCTTTTTCTTACCCTTGCCTATGGCATGGTCACCCAAAATAAACTGATGTAAAGCATGGTAGCAATGAAACTACAAGCTACCTACAATGCACAGTATTTAAACTTTCAGGCAACCTTGCATTAATTCAGGTTCACAGTGGATATACTTGTAAAGATGAATCCAGCTTAAAGAGGAACAAAAAACTTGAAATACAGATCCTGTTATCCCTTCAGCTCTTTAACCATGGAACCATAATTTATTTTTAAATACATGGAACTTTATACAACAGCTGTTAAAGCAATTATTTTATTTACCTCTAATATTTTACTCCCAATCTCTTAGAATGTCCAAGACCTGTGAAAATCGTTTCACTCATCACAGAATGTAAAGTAGGTAAATAATGTTGGCTTACAACAGGCTTTGATTTCTCTATTCAGTAACAGAATTTATGTAAGATTTTGAGATTTTACCAATGTAAGGACAGACATTCTACAGTGTGTCACCTGCTCTACATTTATTAAGTCGGAATTTCAATCATTCACATCAATAGAATGTTGCCTTGTGTATCAACAGTGTGAAACAAGCACAATGGATTCAGTTTCTAAAAATCTTAGTTTCATTCATATTGTGAACTTAAACCAAATCAGTTCTTACTTGGTTTGCAAATAGCCACATTAACACTGGACACTTATCAAATGACACTTGACTTTTAATCATTGTTGGTCTAAATAATGTGTTTATGCAGTGCATGTGTAATCAGTACAATCGGGCAAAACTAGAAACTTTCCAGAAACAAAATCAGAGTTTGCTGGAAAAGCTCAGCAGGTCTGGCAGCACCTGTGAAGAGAAATCAGAGTTAAAGTTTTGGGTCCAGTGACCCTTCCCAGTTCTGAGGAAGGGTCACCAGACATGGAATATTAACACTGATTTCACAGATGTTGCCAGACCCCCTGAACTGTTCCAGCAACTTCTGTTTTTGTTTCTGATTTACAGCATCTGCAGTTCTTTCAGTTTTTATTTAGAAACTTTTCAGATTGCTTCCCATTGTCTTTCAAATAACTGCCAGCCCATTAAGGCTTCACAATATTCTTCCAACCACTGCTAGGTTTTGGACTATCAAAAAAAGGATGAATCCAATAACAGGACAGTCAGTTAGTTTACCATGATGGTTTGTGAAGAATTGTAAAAATACAGGCAAATTTCAATGCAATAACCTTTGTATTTCTTTTCGAGTAAAAAGGTGATGAATGTTAACAGAGTATGTTTTTGTGGGTAATATCAAATGCACAGAATAATCAGTACAAAGTTATCATATAAAAGGCAAACATATCCTCACTCAAACCACAAACTAAACATTTTAAAAAAGATAACAAATTCATGTGGAAGTGTTTGGAAAAACTCTTTATCAGTTGACAAATACAAAGCACTCTAACAGTTACAGCTGAAACACATATCTCCCCTACTTGTTTGTAGTAAGTCTCAGAAGGAAGACAACAAACTGGTTCTTCTGGCATTTTTCACAATCCCAACACTATTTTGGCCAAAGACATGCATGGAAATAGGGATGCCTTCGTATTTCTCAAAGATACAGCTGGGCATAAATAGCAAAATATTTCCTCACAGATATTTGAATTTTAAATAGATTTTGAATGTTTCAGTCAAGGCTGGCAAGGTCAATTTATTGTTCAAACTAAACAGTTAGGAATTCACAGAGTTCTAAAAATTAAACCATCAAGTTCAAAAATGAACAGTAAATTCAAAGGTAAAATCACAAGTTCTTAACTATCATTTCGTGACAATATCTGTATTGAACCAAAATAGTTAACTAATTGTAAAATTGTTACCTTTTTCAAATTGTATTCACATCAATGCTCATGTTTGTTAGAAGTAAATTCAGCTTTATATCTTCAATTACATTGCCAAATTCTAAGTGAATTTCCTTCAAACTCGGATAGACGATTTTAGATGCAAGTTGAATTGCAGCAAGGTACTTTCATTGCTTGTTCAGCTTATATCATTCAGTGTAATATTTCTTGTAAAATTAGAGAAATCATAATTTTAAGCAGTAAAATCAAAAATTATAACCGTTTCAAGGACTTAATGCAAGTCAAACTACTAATGTTTATTTTTATTTAAGTGGCCATTTTATCACCAAAAGCTCAGGACAAACCTGAGTAAATGGTTCCATAACAATGATCTTATTAAAGATGATTTGAATAACTTCCACTTGTGATAAAACATTCTAAAATATCAATTTTGTATACACTCTTTAAATATAGATCTCAAAGCCTGGACATTTCAGTCTACAGGATCACAGCCCTTGTGAACATTTGTGAACTTTAAATGGGCATCTGAACTAACGGGGAAAATAAATTAGCAGTTCTCCGTTCCTCCAACAAAATAAGTTTTAAAATGTCAGTGCATGCTATGTTTAGAACAAAACCAATTTTCTGATCCCTTTGAAATAACTCAACAGCATTGTTGTATGGAACTTCAAAGATAATCTGTCTACAGTAAAATTAGGTATTCATGGAACACAAAAAATGCAAGATTAAAGCATGATGTCTTTTAAAGGTGTACAACATGTTAACTTGCTTGTCTGAAGAAGCTCTATTCCTTTCCATTTGCATTGGGTTGTAAAGCACATACCCGAGGCTCTCGTGTTTCAAGTCAGCCTGCTGTCATTCTCAATTAGACAGAAACCTGTGCAGACTTTGGCAAGACCACGTCCCCAGAAAATTACTGCATGACATAAAATTTTGAACAAAACCTTTGTTCAAAGAATAAATTTATATTACAACTGAACAAGGAAAAAGCTTTCACTCAATGACCCCTTCACGTACTGCTGTCTTTACAAGAGATTTGTTCAGTGATATGATTATAAAATAGCACCAGAAGCAAAGTGCATTGTGAATGCAATAACTTCACTGCATGTAACAGCTTATAACTACAGGCATAAATATTAAAAAAATTCAATAAATACAGAAATACCATCTGTACCTAAACACCAGTATTTAGGACATGGTGCAGGGCAGTATAGGAGAAATGAAATATCAAAATGATCCTTGAACATCTTCCTTGCACCTAGGTTACTTATATGCAAGATATTACTTGTAATATGTTCTTAAAAGGGCAACAACAGTAATGTTTACACCGTTTGAAATGGACTAAAATCAATCTTTGAATTGTTGACATTCACGGTTTGTTCACACTAGTACAAGTTAATCTCATGACTCCATCCATAAAGAGGCAATATGTATTGTAAATATAATTTCTCCAGGTTGATTTAGTCAGAGCCGCTCTGTTCAGGTTGGGAGCAGTGGTCCTTGTTAAGGATGATGTTAATGATCTCACCCTCATGTTCCTTCATATGATCCATCAACAGCTCTTTACTGGTTGATTCAAATCCGCAGATACAGCAACAGAATAATAGGACACAATACTCCATGCCAGCACGAATCTGACTTCCAGCCTTTCCTGGTGTTTCAGAGACAGTTAAGTCCGCGTTTGATTTCTGGCACTTTTCAGGGCCTTTGGTTTCATCAGTAATAAGGCTCATCGCCTCTGGAGCTAAGGGGGGCTTATCAGAATTTGTAGAAAGAGGATGAAGTGATGGTGATGAAGATGATATTTCTTCAACATCCTCAGCTGTAGGTTTTCTCTGGGGGTCTTGACACCTTATGCAAGTTAGATACATTGCATTATTTTACACAAAATAAGTTCCCCATAATATATTACAGAACAAAAATGTTTTAACTACCTGGTTGGACATGCTATGACTCTACTATGACGAGAGGGACTTGTACCCTGACATCTAGCCCAGAAGTAGGAAGGCTAGGATAATGTGTACCAATGTTTGTTCTTTATTTATTGCATCCACATCTGGTAACATCTGTGGCTTCATATTTTAAATATGATTTTCTTGTTAATGGGAGTCTGCCATATATAATGGAAAAATTTAGCCAGTGGGTATCTTGTTGGAGCAGTTAGCTTTCCTCCCCTCTGTTATGAATTGGTGGAAAACTGGATATGTCTTCATGTTTCTTCCTCTAGGCAGGAAACAATCCTTACAACATGTACTTTCGCCCCTGTTTCCACAACCCAGTTCTTTTCAGGACTAAGGGAGCAAGATTAAGAGACCTAGGGTCAAACTTCCCAGTATGTGTTTATCCTTCAAGAAATTTAATTTCATGACAGCCATTTCGATTAAACAAATCAGGTATTGCCATTCTGTAGATGCTACATCAGATGTCTGTATCGACCAAAATAGTTAGTGATAAGCTGGGTGTAGTGAAGTGGCCTGGTATGATGGCTTTTGGGTCTTTGAACCTAGAACCCATCTCCATTGCTTGCCTGCTGCAATGAACAGGTCACTACAACTTATGTACTTGGACCCAGGCTCAGTCAACAGAAAATAATTATTTAATTTGAAATTCAGGAGAATTTCCAGCCACAATCATCTTCCCTTTTAGATTGAAAATTGTAATTGACATCTTAGTGGGAAAACAAGGAGTTTAAACAGGATACAGGACTAGCTGACTTGAGGTAAATGTGCATAAGTTACTGAAGGTGGTTAAACAAGGTAGGAAAGTGCTACAAAGGCATCCAGAATCTTGAGTTTTTTTAAAATTAGAGGCATAGTCTACAAAGGATGATTCAGCCTCAACTTCAGCATTGTGTCCAATTCTGGGCACTGCACTTGACAATTTTTTAGATTTAGATTTAGGTTTTAGGAAGGATGTAAAGGCTTCAGAGTGTGTTTATGGATATAGTCACAGGAACAAGAGCCTTCAGTAGGTGAACAGAGTTGGGGAATTGTGGCTGAGACGAAGAGGATACAGAATGAAAGTGAGGGCAAAAGAATCAAAGGGACACGAAGAAAAAAAAACTTTTCACACACTGAGTGGTCACTACCTGAAGGGCTATGGTGACAGATTTAATCGGGACTTGAAAAGAAACTGAATAAGCACATGAAGATGAGAATAAAAATGGATATGGGGCAAGGGCAGGGGAGTAGGAAGAGCTAAGCTGCTTTTCCACAGACTAGCACAGGCCAAGTGGTCTCCAGCTGCACTGCATCTGTTAATGAGAGCCATTCAAAATCTCTCTACTCCTCAAATCTACAATAAAATCATGTACACAATGATTAAAACTTCCTCTCTCACTAGTGGAAGGAGGACATCTCCTCACTTCCTCCTCTTCTTCCCAAGACAGCAAATAGAAATTGAATGCATGGGATGAGAGAGTCCACATTCTCATCTCCTTGATGTTCACCAAAAGTTAAATCTTTAGGAAGGCAGATGATGGTCTCTTCTCACAAAAGGCAACCCCCTCTCTTCTTCTACAAGACTATAAATATAAATTCCTACTTTTCCAACACAATGTAACCTCGCTTTGACATTATTCACATTATACATTAAACGGTGCTTTGTCTAATCACAATTTGAAGGTGCTCAACAAGTCACTGTTGAATCAAATTTTCACAAAGGAAATATTAACAAATTAAAAGCTTCCATTATCAATGGAATTATCCTCACCTGCTGCTTTGAGAAATGGCTTCATTTATGGCCTTATTCACCTGTTCATAATTATAATTTTGATCACTTGCATGTTTCCACATGTGGGATTTCAAAGATGGAGGATGGCTACACACATAACCACATAGGGAACATCTATCAAGAAACAAAAACAGAACTTAATTATGTAAACTAACCTATGTTTAGTTTTCATAGAGGTAAATACATAAAATAAACTAGATATAGCCACATGGTTTCACAGCTACAAAAACAGGTCCTTGTAAAGAGGGTCACAAATCAAAACTGCAATCTTGTTTAAAATTCAAATAAGTCTATTGGTTCTGGCCAAGTTTCATTTTTCTTGACATAAAGCTCAACCAATCTAGTCAAATATTGCCTCTCACAATGTGACTTTTAAATTGCAGATCCATTCTTTAAGAATTTTTCTGAACCCCAAAAAGTACAATATTCATACAACATAATTAATTGGATACATGAAGTGATAAAGCCATTTAAATTTGATCTTTGATTACCATTTTTACATATATTCTCCAGTTTGAACTACTCACCAACACATAAGGGAAAGTAATTAAACATCCGTTAAAGCTAGGAAACGTATTTCAGCAATTTTCATTAGCATTTAGGTGCCAGAGGAATTGATTTTTCAGCAATTAACATAATTACACGTAAATATATGCATTCTTCTCTCATCACTGGCTGCATATCATGTCTATTAGCACGTCATCCAAAACTGGACTCAGTAACTATTTTGGCAGCATCAATATTAAAGAACTGCATAAAAATACATACATTGTACAAGTCATCCCTGCATATACACAGTCAAATTTCAAAACATAATTTAAATTAGTGTAAGAAGCAGGTAAGTAATGGGACTGTACAGAACATTTGTTACTATGCAAAATGGTCTTCAGCTTGACATGTTTAGCACATACTGTTCAACAAAAATCCAACAAACAGATCTGGAATTGAGAGTGTTATACCAAACAGAAACTACTACTCAGAAACTGAGCCAGAAACAAAAAACTTTGTTACTTGAACGACTAAGCACTAATGAGGAAGTGGAGACCACCTCATAACTCAGAGAGTACCTCAAAATATTTTACACATCACCACTTAACCAGCAGTAATGCTTACTGAACCACTGATTCAATGTCAGATACTTCAAAAGCTATTGCAAGTATTATTAGATTAGCATCATGAATGGGCATCATCCTTAAATCTGGGGAAAAAAAAAACATCAACTGCTGATTTAGCTGGGATCTTATGAAATCCAAACAGATCAAAATAAAAGTTAGCAAAGTAACAATTGCTTGGATTAGATTATTTCAACCACTTCTTCACTCCCTCAAATTCTTCAACAGGGCAGCTCCTTGAAACTCAATAATGGAATAACTCATGGTATGGTAGCTGGGCTACCTACTGAGTCACAGTGACAGCAAGCACCGACTTATCTTGAAATTAATCTGTTGTTCAGTGAACTTCATATTTAAATACAAATTTTTAGAATAAAGCAAGTATTTATTCACCAAAAATTACTGAACTGCTTTAGAATTTACTCGTATTATGATCATGCCAGGGTTACCATTAATACTTAAAGAAGAAATCTGAGCACCCGACAATTAACTGACAGAATTACTCAACAAGATTTCATAATCTTCAATAAAAACAAACTTCATTGTATATCAAGAAGAACAAAATAAAGTAAACAGTGTTTAAGGTTATAGCTTACAAAGATTTATAAAGGTATACACAGCCCTCCAAAATCTACTTGCACTCCTCTAATGTTCCAGCTATTCATCAAGATTCAAATCACAGAGGGTTTGTCCATTAATTTTCTATAAATGGCTTATGATTACAGACTCTTCAGTTCTTCATTGTGACTTTGGATAGATATACATACTTTGAGCCCCAGTCTGTTCCAACAGTTTCTGTACAGCTCTTTTCAAACCAACTAACTATTCAAAATGACTGCTTTCATAGAATCATAGAATCCCTACAGTGTAGAAACAGGCCCTTCGGCCCAACAAGTCCACACCAAACCTCAGAGATTCCCACCCAGACCCATCCCCCTATAACCCACCTAATCGTCACCTCCCTGAACACTACGGGCAATTTAGCATGGGCAATCCACCTAACCTGCATATCTTTGGACTGGAGGAGGAAACCGGAGCACCCGGAGGAAACCCACGCAGACGCAGGGAGAATGTGCAAACTCCACACAGACAGTCGCCCGAGGCTAGAATCGAACCCGGGTCCCTGGCACTGTGAGGCAGCAGTGCTAACCACTGAGCCACCGTGCAGCCCTATTTCTAGCAAATAGTTCTGAAAGGATTACTGTAGACATTTTCCAATAGCTGCAAGCTAGAACAAATCTTCTGGCTGATTTTCCCTGCATGATACCCAAACTGAACTGCTTGGTTCTGTTAGTTAACACCCAGGTAAATTCAACAAAAGTAATTCCAGCTAAACTTCCATTTTAAATAATTATCTCAATAGCAACATTGTATTCTTTTGGATAATTCACAGAAAATTATAAATTATTTTACCTTTGACACAAATCTTTGATTCTGCAATCCATATGGACAATTTAGATCACTAATTGATTTAATTTCCTTCTCTGCAGATTCCCTAGTTCCACTACAAGCTTTGAAATCAATAATTCATTGTTCAAGCTTTTTCACCATTAACTCTGATCTTGCAAGACAAACACAGGCTAATTTTTAAGTGTAATAAATCTCATTTGATTTTCATTTACATCAGAGTTGCTTTTACCAGTTTCTCAACCAGATGCTCCTATTTGCTACGTTTGCTATAAGCTGAAAGTTATGCTCTTAAAAAAAATATAAATCATGAATTAGATTTTCACAACACTTACTTGTACTGTTCCAGCAACTGAACAACCTGATGTTCCTGCGGATGGCGTTTCATATGACACTTTAAACTGTTCAAGTTTGTGGTAGCAAAGTCACAGCTACTGCATCTGTAAATTGATCATGGTTGAATATGAGTATGTGTCTTTAATATGGTAAATATTGTAATATGGTACTGACCTCTATTTTCACGGTATAAAGTAAAGAAGCTTTACTAAAGCTCCTTGTCACTTCTGTTATAGCTGCTAACAGATTGTTTCAATAACAAAAAAACATTGGAAGGGCATTTAATTTTGAATTTATCAATACGTAAGGTGCCAGGATTAAGGGAATGTAATATTATTTTCTTTTACTAAAAAAGGGACAACATTTAACAAAGTTACTGGAATAATTGTTCTTTAGAAATTCAGGAGGACAAAGAGGAGTAGACTTTCAGATAGCTATTCTGAGAAGGAGTGGAAATGAATTAAGCAATATAACAAAAAGCAAAACATTTGCTGATGTCGGAAATTTGAAACAAAAAGGGCTGAGCTGACCAGATAGCATCTGTGGTGAGAGCCGTTAAATTAACATATCCACTGTGGAAAACTTCTGTCACAACTGGTTTTATGGCATTGTTTATGGCTTTAGCATTTTAAGTGGTTAATTTGAGAAGATACAAACAGAGCAGGAGGTTTTCTTGCTTTTCCTGTGAAATTGTAACCAAGTATATGAAAATACTTTGCAACTTCATACAAATAAAGGCAATCTCCTCTCCCACCTTTGAACTGTTACCTGATATAAAATTCTTTTTATAACAGGCTTTTTATTAATGCAATACTGGTGGAACTGCTGAGCGTTATTTTGTGCAACAATAACTTCTTTGTTGCAGTATTTTGTTTGAATAATCAAATATCAGGCATAGAATTAACTTTCATCAATGACAGGGCTTCTTATTACAGATTTTGAACAGAGAAACTATTTTGCTGGGCCCCCTCTCATGTCACACACCTTCATTTATTTTGTAGCAGCAGACTGCTATATTTAACTTAGCTTGAAAACATGAAACTTGCAGAGACCATCACTGTACCAATTGCATTGGAAAAAGAACAATCACAAATTACAATGGAAGACTGAGCCATGAAGTGCTTCATACGGTATATTGTAAACCTTTACAACCTCACTAAAAAATACTCCATGCAGTTCCGACAAATTGCATTTTATACCATTTGTTGACAATTCATTGCAATAAGTTCTCCTTGCACCACAGATGATTAAAATCATAAGACTGTGCTGCAGATGGCAATGCAAGAACTACAGTAATAAAGACAAAGTGCAAAATTCGAAGAACTCCTCCTGATTTTTCCTAATTTATTACAAACTACTAAATGCTTGACAGTATGTAATACTACATTATGATGGAATCACAGAATAGTTGCAGCACAAAGGAGGCCATTCAGTCTCTCATATCCATGATAGGTGTCTGTGACAACTCACCTAATCCTACATGCTTTTGCTCAGCTTAATGCCACCTCTTCTGCAAATTGCCTTAAAATCGGTCTTCTCTGATTTTTAAACCTTTTTACTGGTGACAGCTTTTAAAAAATGTTGAATCACCTTTTCCTCAGGTAGAAGTTAAGGTCTACAATTCACTGCATGCCCTGGGAGTTCTGGCAAATACACACAATAAGACCTACAACCAAGGCTGGTCCAGTTTTTTTGTTTTAAGTTTAGCTGTAGACAGGAGGGCATATGCTGGGTGGGGCTAGCACAAAAAGGGAAACACACAGAATGCAGTCAGGAGGTGGACAGCTAAAAAAAAGGTTCCATATTGACAAAGTGCTGGTACAGAAGGCTTCAGGCAGTCAGTCTTTAGGAAAAGCCCTGGCAACTAGAAGATATAGCTAAGAGTTGGGGTAAGGGCTCAAACAAAAAGGAGGCAGGTGGGAGCCATTTGGAGCAACTGGGGTATAGGAAGGGGCTTGGAAGCCATTGATGGCTCAATGTACCTGAGAGTGATGGTGTAGAAGACTACAAGCAACATTTGCTTGGTGCATTTGCGAAATGTTGCAGCTCAGAGAAATCTAGGGGTAGAGTTAGGTTTGTGAAGCTTGCTAGCTGCGTAAGAGCTGGAATTGCACTCATGGGTAGATGGTGGAGTGCAGGCTCAGAAATTTAGTGAAACGCAGTCTCAGTGAAAAAGACTGAACTATCAGGATGACAGTACTGATTGCAACAATTCATAATGGAACATATTGTGAGGAAATTTCAGAGTTAGATCTTTGAAACTCACTTGCAACATGTTCCATTATGGATTGTTAGGTCTTTGAAAGTGAAGAAGAGAATCCCTTCTAAAAAAGATAATGCTTTCACGAAAATTTGGTGACTCACAGTGTCACCTAGTCTGGAGGGCTGGTGAGAAAGACATTGAATCCATTGCAACTGCACTTGCTATTTAATATGCTCTGCGGGTGTATTCAACCACTGGTTTGACTGATACCCACATTTACCAGAATTCCAGATTTCAAAATACTCAAGATCACCCCTTTTCTTATTTTTATATGTATTTTTAGTCCAAACTCACACTTTTATGAACCTTGCAAAAAGTTTTTACTGCCACAAGCTGGGCAGAGGCAAAAGCAATTACAATTGCCTGGAAACAACCCCAAGTGAGAGGCGAATGGATAAATATATTTGCTCCAATTGTCTGACATCCCTAAGGTGGTGTGAGCACCGGTATGAATAACTACTTCACTCTATAAGTATCAAAACCTCGAGATGGTCAGGGCAATCATCTAGGAACAGTAGCTTGTCTATTCAACAACTGAAGTTGCAAAGAGGTTTTCGTTGGATTATAAAGCACCTGAGTCCGACACTTGCATGTAGCATGGGCAAGTGTTGGTATAATGACCATACCTGTAGTGAATGTGTACACTTGGTAATGAGGCATGATTAAATCACACACTTGTTCTGTGCCATTTGAGTTCACCTGGAACCTGGAAAACGCAGCCCAGGAAAGAGGGGGTGCTACTGATCTGATGAGTCAGGCAGGAGTCTAAGGTAGAGATATAGTGGTACAAGTGTAGTTTTGGATGATAGTGTCACAAAATGCTTGGCAGGTAAGCTACCCTTAGAAGAATTATGGGTGACAATGATTTTGGAAGCTGATGATCTTATAATTGAAGTGGCTAAGTGCATGACTGATTCGTGAATCAATCAGATTTGCAAAAGGGTCTGTGGTTAATGGCACATCAACAAACTAAAGACCAAGCAGAAAAGCAGAAGTTACAGTAATAATTACAAGGTTTAGAAAATGAATCAAGTGATACAAAAATGATAAATAGTTAATGAAAAACTTAGAGATGGGTTTAAGAACAAGGAAGGTAATGATGGTAACAGTTAGCAAGTAACATTAGTCAACGCTGATGCCTCCATTACCATCCTCCTCAATTTTTACCCCCATCAAGCTGCCTGCATTGTTGAACTGCTTGTTGGAGTTGCACCCATCCAGGTAAATTTAGAGTTTCCCATGTCACTCCTGATTTGCGCTTTGTAGACAGTAGACAAACATTGCAAAGTCAGCATGCAAATTACCTGTTGCAGAATTCTGAGGTTCTGCCATGCCCTTGTATACACAGTATTTATAAAGCTGGTCCAGTTCAGTTTCCGATCAATGGTAACATGTGAGATATTAACAGTGGGGGATACAGCAATGGTGACACCATTCGGTATTAAAGGGCAATGGTTAGATTCTCTCTTGTTGGAGATGGTCATTGCTTGGTACTTGTGCACCAGAATGTTACCTGTTCCTGATCAGCCCAAACCTGGATGTTATACAGTACTTGCTGGATTTGGACATGACAGTATCTGAGGAGTTGCAACTGGGGCTGAACATTGTGCATTCATTAGTAAGCATCCCCATTCTGACCTAATGATGAACGGAAGGTCATTGATGGAAAGCTGGACATGAATAGGTCTAGCATAATGCCCTTACGAACTCCTGTGGAGATATTCTGGGACTAAGATGACTAACCTTCCACAACCATAATCATCTTTTGCGCTTGGTATAATTCCAACGAGGAGGGACTTTTCCCTTTGATTCCAGTTTTGCTAGGGCTCCCTGAAGCCATACTCAGTCAAGCGCTGCCTTGATGTCATGAGCTTAACTCTCACTTTTTCTCTCCTCTGATGTTCAGTTCTTTAGTCCATGTTTGGGTCAAGACTATAATTAGGTCAGGAGCTGAGTGGCCTTAGGAGAATCTAAACTGAACATCAATAAGCTGCTTGTTGCTGAGCAAGTAGTGCTTGGCAGTAATGTTGCTGACTCCTTCCATCACTTCGTTGATGATTGAGAACAGGCTGAGAGCAGTAATTGGCCAATTTCGATTTTTCCCTTTTGTGATCAGGGAAATTTTATACATTGCAGGCTAGATGCCAGTGCTGTAGCAGTACTAAACAGTTTGGCTGTGAGCACACCAGTTCGGGACCACAAATCTTCACTAAAGTTGTTGGAACCCAAAGCCTTTGCAGTATCCAGTGCTTCAGCCATTACTCGATCTCTCAGAATGAACTCAATCAGCTGTAGATTAGTATTTGTGATGCTGAGGACTTCCAGAGGAGGTTAACATGGAGCATCCACTCAGCACTTCTGGCTGAAAATTGCTTTATCTTTTGTACTGATGTGCTGGGCTCATCCTTGAAGATGGGAATATTTGTGCAGCCTTCTCCTCCAGTGAGTTCTTTAATTGCCTACTATCGTCTGCGGCAGGACTGCACAGCTTATATCTGATCCATTGTTTGTGGGATTGCTTAGCCTTGGCTTTGGCATGTTGTTTCTGCTGTTTGACATGCAACCTGTCCTATATTGTTGTGTTCTCCTTAAGTCAGTAATAGAACTGCTGTTATTGTTAATGTATTTTAATGAACAGGAGCTGGATAGATAGGGTATCATTTCAAAGTTTATGGATGACAAAACTCAAATGTAGCTAGAAATGAAGATATAGGCATGTAGTGAAATGAGTGACAGATTTTAAAACAGATGCAGGAACAGAGGGATCTGGGGTGGATGTACATAAGTCCTTCAAGGTGGCAGAACAAGTTGAGAAAGCTATTAAAAAAGCACTGGAATCCCTCAACTTTAATATTAATGGCACAAGTTACAAAAGCAAGGAATTTATGTTAAACAAAAACAGAAGTTCTGGAAAAGCTCAACAGGTCTAACAACATCTGTGAAGAAAAATCAGAGTTAATGCTCGGTCCATTAGACCCGAAATCACTTTAAATCTATGCCTTCTTAATCTCATTCCTTTTACAAGCGGGAATAGCTTCTCTTTATCTGCTTTATGCAGCCTGTTCACGATTTTGAAAACCTCTATGACATTGCCTTTCAGCCTTCTTCTCTCCAAGGAGAAGTGGCCCAATCTCTTCAATCCATCCTCAAAACTGAAGTTTCTCATTCTTGGAGCCATTTTTGTGAAGTGCTTCTGCACTCTCTCAAATGTACCCAAAGCTACAAACAATAATCCAGCTGAGGAATAACATGTGTTTTATACAAGTTCAGCATCACCTCCTTGCCCGTATTAATGAAGCCAAGACCACTGTGTGCTTTATGAATTTCTCTTTCCAACTACCCCGGCACCTTCATTGTTTGTCTACCTATTCACCGAGGTCCTTCTGTCCCTGCATCTCCTTTAGTATTGTATTCCCTATGTACATTATCTTTCAATGTTCTTTCTCTCAAAGTGCATCACCTCACACTTCTCTGCATTGAATTTCATCTAATACCTATGAACCCACTCCACCAACTTGTTAACATCCTTTGAGGGTCTACACTGCCCTCCTCAGAGTTTACAATGCTTTATAGCTTCAAGGTTATCTGAAAACTGTGAAATTGTCCCCTGCGTACCAAGATCCAGATCATTAATATATATCAGGATAAATGAGAGTCAATCACATAGTTGCTGGCAGATAGAAGTACTTGGTCATCAACAACTGGCCTTCATTCCACAGACCAATTAGCTGTTTGTGGTCGGCTGAATCTCATATTGTACACAAACCCTTACTGCCAGCTTGTCTACAACTTGCTGCACTGGGTGAACAAATAATAGTATAAACAACACTTAAAAACAAACTAGCAATGCAGCAATCCACTCCACAAAATAGACCTTTCCCCCTTCAAAAATACAGAAGCATATAAAGTTATGGCCTTTGCAGATTTATTTGATTGATACCAGTTTTGCACATCATTGGTTCAGAGGAGATTATAAGAGAATTGATTGATTGATTTTGAACTTGGAATAATTTTCATTGGGTAAATAAGAAATTGCTTTCAGGGGTGGAAGAGTTGTAACTAGAGGATAGATTAAGGTGATTGGGAAAAACAAAGTGACAACAAGGTACTTTCTTATAGGGCAAGTTAATGAGACTTGGAACTGTGTGAAAGTGTGGTGGAAACAAGTTCAATATTAACTCTTCATGGGGAATCAGATAAATACTCAAAGAGAAAAGAAATTTAAGGATATGGGCAAAGAGCAGGACAATATAACTGGTTGGATAGCTCTACCAAACAGTCAACAGCAGGCACAATGAGATGAATACCTCCTGTGTTGCATCATTCAATGGAAATCTGGCCCGATGTATTTTGTAAGTTGCACAAACCTGTAAGGTCTATCAGAATTGTGGATTCTTCTGTGGTTTCTTACACCAACATACGTTGAACTTGTGTAGTCACACACATCGCACTTGTACAGTTTCTGAGTTGACAGTATTTCTAGATAACAAGGAGTTAAAGAATTAATAGTAGAATTGTCGAATGTTTTAAATCCAAATTGCCCATATAAGGCTCTATAACCAAGATTTGGAAATGCATTTTCCATGATATAGATATTTTTTAGTTATTTAATGCATAAACAATAGTGCTAATGCAGGACATTATGTCAGGGATGGTGGTGATGGTTCATGAGAAGTGTAAGCATACAGAACACAAAGTTGATCAATCACAAAAGGCACAAGATTTTTGCTACCATCCTCTCAGATTCATGTTGGCAGGGACATTGTGTGAATATGAATCGTCAGCAAGTTTGCTCATCATTGCACAACAGTCAGCATTAGAATGCTGGAGATCGACTGAGATGCTCAACGTTTTATGAGGTTAACATCTGAGAAGATTTCAAAAGAAAATTTTCACTCAGAGAAATGGAAGGTACAATTTTAGCTTTGCTGGATAGTGCTGTCTTTCTGACTTTTATTGAACAAATAGACATGTGTAATCAGAATTACTTCAATTAGTGAGCAATTAAAGATAAAGGAATGAAAGTTTATGTGCATGTGAAACTGAACTGACAGTATCAATTTCTTAGTCCTCCTTCACAGACCCAAATATGAATAAACTGAGAAATCTGTCAACAAAATAAAAGCCTTGAATGGCACTCAGATTGAAAGAAACCTCAGTGGAACTATTAAAAAAGGTAGCTGGACATAAAACTATCAATCACCTTCACTTCCAGTTAGTAAAGTCTGCAAGCCAATGTTCTTCCTAAAGACATGAAAAACGTTATGATCCTGCTTTTGTAAATGGAGGTGAGTTTCTAATTAGACTGTCAAAATATTGAAGCCTTTACTCCACCAGTGGCTACAAAATGAGACTCATACTGCTCAGCATCCTGTAACTGCACTGCTATAGTATACTGAAATCTATAGCTGATACATGTACATGAAATGCTAATGTTGAAACAAGTAAACACTGTTCATTGCTTATGACATCTTGAGAAAGACAGCTCATTCTCTCAGCATTTGTATTTTAGAAACAAATTATGCACTGGGATACTCAATTACAATTAATAAAGGGATCTGATAATTTTAAAATATATTGCAGACTGTTTTATATGAACTGGAAGGGGAGAGATCTCATGGCCACTGATCACCATTATTTAGAGGATAGTGATCATTGCTGGTTGTAAAAACAGCTGTAGCAGCATCGTTGCCTTTGATTCAACAAAATAATTGGGCTGCAATATAAATTGCCGGGGTCTCAAATTCCATCAGCAGCTCATTTTATAGATGATAAATTAGGCGATGCTATGAGCAGTATTTCCAAGTGCTTTCTGTAACTGCATTCAACAGCAACATTTAAATCAATGGTACAGCCACTGAGTGAAGATATTCACCAATAATCTATCAAACCATCCATTAACATATATAAAGTCTTAAAGTTATCCCTTGAGCTTATGCAATTATGTTATTTAATCCACAGCTTTTATATATTGAAGTCAGCTGTTAGGGCATTCTTTCTGAGCTTGCAAACAAGGAGATTTATTGCATGACCTAGATATAGTTGAGAGATAAAAGCAAGAACAAGCTCCCTCACAAATTCTTACTGGGGCATTTTTGATTGAGCTTAATCTTCCCAGAACACACTGATTCTGATACTTACAGGAGATGATAAAATGTGTCAGCTGCTGGCAAATTCAGAAATGCAGTTTGCAGAGGTCTTGCTGAATTAAAGGGCACGATGTTATTAGAACTGTTTTTTAACTTCCATTCCCACCAGGATGAAAGACACGCTACTGGGGATTATGATATGAAGGAAAAAGGTATGTGGAATGAGTTGTGCAGGAAAGGTGGAGGGCACCTGGAATCCATAGGGGAGGAGGCATCTGTAAAGTACGAGCAAGTTGGTGTGGTTCAGAAATCTCAGGAAAGAGGGGAGACTGTGTGGGGTTTGGATGATCATGTAAGGCTGCAAGCTACATCACCTGTGTGAGAGAGACCAAACACAGGAAGCAAAGCCGTTCCTATTGGTCCACAAGTAGTGCTGGAAGAGTACTTACATGCTCGCTCTGACAGCTCCTGGCTTACTTCACCTGCCCTAGGAAATTAGGCCAAAATCCGAAAAATTTAAAAGGTAGTTGAATCTGAGATATTGAGGCTTTCAAGGTTTTTTTGAAATCAGGTACTCAACTACAATGGCAATCATCCCAATACCCACAAAACCCGAGCTACATATTGAGGCTTATTAACATATGGAAATAATCGGCCTGTCCAAGTAAGTTGTTTGGACAAACCCAAACTCACCCAAGTTAATTCATAAATAGACACATTTGCAGTGGACTGGGTTTGAAGTTCACATAACATAACAACTGAACAATCACTCCACCCCAACACTACCCTGCCCATGTCACTGATTCTCCTGGACAGGAGACTATGAAATACCTAGATAGAAGGTTTGGAATACTAACTGACAAAAAAGACAGATATTACATTGCCAAAAGCTAAGAAATTTTATCACTGTTAAGAGAAGGCCAGATAAAGACTTTGCAGAGGTAACTTGCTTCAGGTTTAGACAACTGCATTCTTTTCCAACCATTGGTTAAGTACATGAATAGGAAAGATTTGGAGGGATATGGGCCAGGAACAGGCAGATGGGACGAGTTTAGTTTGGGATTATGTTTGGCAATGGACTGGTTGGAACAAAGAGTCATACAGCACAGAGGCAGACCCTATGACCAAAAGGACAGATGGCTGAATGAAAAGCAGGTCATAAGTTCAGAAACGTAGTTTCTTAAAGGTTCAAGAGAAATCTCATTATCTAGTACCTCTAATTTTGTTGTATATTTTATGCGCATAAAGATAAATACAAATATTTGCATTACCTTCCTGTGTGCTTCCAGTTTCTCCTCCTCTACTACAGTCAGTATTTTCATCATTTGTTGAGGAAATGAGAGATAGGCCATGTTGCTCACACTCATGGTTCCGGAGCTGGCTCTGTCAGAAAGATGCTCAGGATGTCAAAATAGCAATAAACCATATACTGATTGAGATGAAACCAACAAACTGCAAGGAGCCAAAATTAAAAGAGGTGATCCTTCACAGAACACTTTAGCAATTCTTATAGAATAATGTTGAGTTAGAAAGTTATAGACAAATTCATCATTTCAAAGTATGCATTCGATCGAATTTAAAATTTCAAAAACACACTAACATTTTAACCCAGACAGATTTTTCAGAAGCAAAACTGAAGTAATCACTCTGAAAGGCATAAGACGACTTTTCAATGTTAAAATCACCATTTTCTAAATAATGATCAAGATTTTCTTTACACAGCCTGATTAAGCCTCAATCACAACTAAATTGCTGTTAAACATACAGAACTTTGCTAGTTTTTAAAAAATGAGATTTTTCCAGTAAGAAAGTGGATTCCCAAACTTAAATTATTACAATCAAAACTGGGCTTGAAACAATTTGCTGTAGCTTTACTGTATTATTTGAATGATACACAGTAATTTTAGGAAGAAAACTCTAGTTTTACTTTAGTTTCAATGTACACGTTAATTTCAACATATCTAAGTAAACAAACTTCCATTAAGTCAGTGTACCTTATAATAAAATGCTTCATTGCACCTCTTGCAGTGATACATTCTAGTCTTGCAATGGTTTATCATATGACTTTCCAGACTATTGCTATCAGAAGCAATGTGATCACAGATTGGGCACTGGTAAGGCTGTCGTTGCCGGTGAACCCTTAAGTGCTGCTTGATGTACCCCTTGTTACTGCTGCTATAGTGACAGAGGCAACAACGGTAAGGCCGCTCTGTATTGGGTATATACTCCACTAGGTTGCCTGATGAACCCAGGTCATTTGAAGGTTGACTTTGTGCATTATCCTGTAATTCCTTCAGGATATCTTCATCAGAAGCATTTTGGTCAGTTCTTTCCCTCAATTTTTCAATTACAGTGAGTAATGACATGCTGATGCCCATTTTGATAGGTACTTCAGAAAAACCAGATTTAGCTTTATCAAGCTGTAAGTCACTGCTAGGACCAGCTCGAGAATAACTGAGAGCTGGAGAAATGGAAGTGCTGACTTCTACACTTTTCTGCCCTGTATCAGGCTCAGGATTTTTAGCATTTGCTCTGGTCAATTCTGGTGCTCTTGTTGGCATTGCAACAAGAGCTTCGGCAGCCAATGAATGAAGCCTCAAGGATTCTGAATTAGTTCTCCTTCGTGCTGGTGGAACATTTTCGTCAACTGCCGCAGGCTCAGAAGGTTTTAAAACATTATTACTTTCTTCAGGATTCCACTCCAAGGCAGCAGTTTCCACTTCAGTTGCGCTGTTACTTTGTTGATACAAAGGATACGAAGGATCTTCGCAATAGATCACATGAGACTTTTCAGAGATAAGTCTCTTTTCCACTTCAATATCTGGTGTCATTAGAAAGTGCTTTTCTGGAACAGTATCTCCAGCTCCTGGGACCCGCTCCACGATAACATTGACATGACCAACCTTGTTTGAACTACAGTTAATTATCTTCTGTGCAGAAGAAAGAAGGCTATCAGAAATTGTGCCTTCATGTTCACAATCCAGTATCAGAGACTCCTCCTCGACAATTTCCATTACAGTAGGACTCTGTGCTTTTGAGCAGGTAGTATCAGAATTTTTCACAGTTGTCTCAGATAGAGAGGGCCTGCAGTCCAATGAGTTCACTACAGTAACTGGAGCCACACCACAAAACTGCAATTGATTTGAACCAGTGCAGTGCACACTTTCCGATTTAACTGCTGTTGAAAAAACAATGACTGGTTCATCATCATGAGTTGTGAGAGCTGTAGACGAAACTGTTGAGGTAGTTGGCTCAGATACCTCTTCAAAAATTGGATATGAACAATCAACTTCACCAGCATGTTTCCATGCATGTGTTTTTAACATTCGCTGGCGATCACAAGCATAACTGCAAATCAAACACCTATACATGCCATACTGGTCATATGTGTACCACTTTCTTGGGCCTGGTTCAGTGTCCAAAGCAACGTTTCCTGATTTTGCATTGCCTACGGTACTTAACTCAGATTGCTGCTGAATCTGTGGTAACTGTTTTCTCTGCATCTGTGCATCTTCGAGATGGATCCAAATATGAGCTTCAAGCTCCTCCTGTTTTTTTGAAATAAAACAACACTGAGAACACATCAATACCACCTCACTTGACTTTCCATGTTGCTCAAAGTGCTCCTTTAACTGTGGAAATGTCAGTGAACTGAATTTACATAAATTACATTGATATCTTGTAAGGTTCCTGTGCAAATATCTGTGTTCAGCAAGATCTTTGGAAACTGTAGTGGCAAAGTTGCACTGTTCACATGTGTAGATCTCAGTATTGTTATGGCTGCGTATATGTGCATAAAAAGCTGGTTGTTCTGCAGTAACATAGTCACAGAGAGTACAACAGAATCTCTTTGAAGGGTCAGTTTTATCTGCAGAGTTATGCGTCCTTAGATCTAGTCTATTGCAACTCTCGGGCAAACCTTGTGTCTTAAAATAAGTCTCTCTAATTGTGGTATCATCCTGTAACTTATCATAGTTTGTGTCCACAGGTTTTTTGGCTGTGGTCCCACAGCTGTCAGTATGCTTAAATATTGCACTTTGTGTGTCAGTGGTACTAGTATAAGGCCTCTTTTGACCAGCTTGAGAATATTGCTTTGATCTTCCTTTCTCCACAATCTTACTTAATTTTTCAATAACCCGAATTAGTGAGCCCGATCTTTCCATTTTTGATACAATTTTGCTATCCACAAATGAACGAGTTGCTATATGCTTCAAGACATGTTCATCACATTTATGCTTTGTTTTACAGCCATGGCTTTGTGGTTGGGAATCTGCAACAGCATCTGAAATCATACTGTCCAGCCTATTGGTGTGTTGTATTAACAGTGCAACACTGTTAAGATTTTTCCAAAGTACCTACAAAAGAAACAAAACATTTAGCTTTTAAACATCTGCATTTAAGTTCTGCATCTACTTCTAAGATCTGCATCTACTTCTAAGAACACATTATTAACTTCTCTGGTGTTATGTCTCAGGTGATGGTAATGGTAGACAAGTCAGAATCCAGAATGAAATCTGGCTGGATAGATCATAACTTTTATTCTTACAATTTGGTTACCAGGGTGGTCAGTCACTGAACACATTCACATGAGGATGAAAAAGTTCTTTTACTGTAAGTACATAATATTATACAAAAAAAAAGGAAAACGGGCACTCTTGCTACCCAGGTTCCTTGGACAGTACCTTCCAAATTTGTGATGACTACTATCTTGAAGAACAAGAGCAACAAACACATTGGAATACCACCACTTGCAAATTCTCTTCAAAGCTACTTACCTTCCTGACCTGGAATAGTATAATTTTCCCTTCACTGTTGCTGGGTAAAAATCCTGGAACTCCCTCCTAATGGCAGCACGTATCTACAAATGTATTGCAGCGATTCACACAGGCAGCTCATACTAGCCTCTCAAGGGCAACTAATGGTGGACAATAAATGCTGGCTCAGCCAGTGTAACCCACATCCGATCAGTAAATAGAATAAAAAAACAATTTGGCAAGATCTCAACATAAAAAACAAAGAAAATTCAGCCCCATTTCACAGCAATAATCTTTACAGATACTCAACCCCAATGAAGTATCGGTCCTATCTTCACTTTAAAATTTCCTTTTGAACTGACAAAGTCAAAAGCATCCATTTGGTCAATTTTAGCAAATTCACCAGATGCAGTGTTTTCCATGATTGTCTCTCCCAGAGACTCCATAAGACTATAAAAAAAAGGAACAAGTAAAGGCCATTCAGACCCTTGAGTTTTCTCCGCTATTCAATACAATCACGGTTGAGCCAACACTCCTTACGTCCACTTTCCTAACCTTTCCCCATAACCCTTGATTCTCCAAATGATCAAGAATATAAGACTTAATTATACAAAAAGATTCTGCCCCAACAGCTCTCAGTGACAAGGAGTTCCAAAGACACTCAACCCTCTAAGAGAAGAAATTTCTCATCTCAATCTTAAGTTGACATCCCTCAATTCCGTGAATACACACTCTGGTCCTAGACTCTCCAATGAGGGGAAACATCCTTTCAGCAGCTAACCTGTCAAGCCCCTTAAGAATCCTATGTTTCACTGAGATCACCTCCCATTCTTGTAAACTCCAATGAGCAGAGTCTCAATCAGTTTAATCTTTGCCCATAAGACAATCCCTCCATACCAGTGATCATCCTTATGAACCTTCACTGAACTGCCTCCATTGAAATAATATCTGTTGTAAATAACATCACCAAGACTGTTCACAGCACTCTAGATGTGGTCACCTTGTATAGTTGCAGTAAGCCCTCTCTACTCTTTTACTCCAACACCCTTGAAATAAAGGGCCTGCATACTATTAGTATTCTTGATTACCTGCTGCATTTGTGTACTAACTTGCTGCATGTTGTGCACAAGTATCCCTAAGTCCCTTTGTGTTGCAGCTTTCTGAAGTTTTCCCCATTTAAATAATAATGTTCTTTTGTTCTCCCTTTCAAAATGAACTTTACATTTTCCCACATCATAGTCCATTTGCCAACTTTTTGCCCATTTAACTTATTCAAAATCTCCCTGTAAACTGTCTGTATCCATCTTGCAACCTGCCTTTCCAGCTTCAAAATCCCAGAAATATATACTGACTCGGGCTGTGCCTCACTCTGGATGCGACTTCTCTATACTGACCACGTAAAGCTTACTGATCGTGCACTTTCAACAGACCATCTCTTAAATGGGACTGAGTTTAAGGCTAAGATGATGCTCATTAGTTAAGTTTCAATAGTAATCAATGCCTATTCAGGCCTGATTCAAGTTTTAAGTGATTGATTGATAACTGTCCCTCAGTCAGCTACATTTTAACTGGACTACTGAACTTTAAACTTTTAAAAAAGAGAAAAAAGATAAAGATTTACCAATTCTATTCCCACGCTGCTCCAAAGTCAATGAAATCTATATTCACTTGAATCTCTGCCTCACTCTAGCTGTGATCTCTCCTTACTGACTGTGCATGCAGCTACGTAAACTAATTTGCTGACTTTTCTCATTGAGCTTGAAGAAATAATCTCAAGGCTTTGATTACTTCCAAGCTGCTAGACAGTACATCTGATGGTATGGATCTTTGCTTCTGAACTGCAACCTGCTTATAGCCTTTGGCTTCCTCTTCTGTAAATCATGAGAACTTAAGTCAACAACAGCTCAAGTCACATGGCTTCTTCAAAAGGCTGTCTTTAGCTTACTATTCCAAATGACTTTCTGGTCATTTCTTTACAAAAAAAAGCATATCTTCACAGCACTGAAAGCCAAAAATCTTCAGCTTTAGAATTAACACATCCAGTTCTGTATTACCCAAAAGAAAATGTTCTAGGAATCTCTTACTTGAAAAGTTATGCAATACTCCCAATGCTTACATTGTAAAACTTCACTGTCATTCCAAAATCTAGGAAAAGACAACTTGCATTTATACTGCACCTTCCTTTATTCATTCACGGGATTAGGGCATTGCTGGCTAGGCAGCATTTATTCCCCATTCCTAATTGCCCAGAGGACAGTTCAGAGTCAACCATATTTCTGTGGGTCTGGAGTCATATGTAGGCCAGACCAGGTAAGGATTGCAGTTTACTTCCTAAAGGACGTTGTGAACAAGATGGATTTTTCCAACAATCGGCAGTGGATTCATAGTCATCATTAGGCTCTTAATTCCAGATATTTTATTGAATTCAAATTCCATCATCTGCCGTGGCAGGATTTGAACCCAGGTCCCCAGAACGTTATCGGGATTTCCAGATTAACAGTCCAGCGATAATACCACTAGGCCATCACCTCCCCCTGTAACAAAGGAAAAACACCTTGCAGATTTTTTGGAGGCATTAGAAAAAAATGACTAGCCAAAGGAGGAAATGTTAGGAGAGTTGTAAAGGAAAACATGCTAGTGAAGAACCAGAAGTCCAAGGAATGTTGTTCTAAAATGTGGGTCTGAAGTGGCTGAAGGCTCAACTGTTAGTAATGGGGTGAACTGATCATTAAACCAGCAAAGAACTGAAGTCAGAGGAACAGAATGTGATGGAAGTGGAAGAATTTTGTAGGAGTTGTGCAAACCTTTATAGAGATAAGGAGGGAAGAGTTTATGTTGGGACTAATTAACAAGAACAATAATTTTAAATTTAAAGCTGGCTGGATAAAGGATTTTGAGAAGGAAGGACGGTGGTTTGGGTGAAAAAAATCCCAGAGTTGAAGAGCTGCAGAGTGAATTAACTCACGTTTGTGAAGGGAAGCATGTGCAACATCAGCTAAGAAAACACAGATATTGCGAAGCCAGACAATGACAGATGGTTTCAGCGGCAGATGTGCTAGGTTAGAATATAAGTTGACAATATTCTGCTACAACATTGAAGATACGCAGATGGAAGTTCAGTCCAGAACAAAGTATAGCACATTGTTAACATTATGTTTCGGACTGAGATGCTAACTGGTAATGAAGCCAGAGAGGGTGACAAGAGCAGAAAAGAATGGGTTCCATCTTTTCAACACTTAGCTGAAGGAAACTGTTTATCAGAATTTGGATTCTGGACAGAACCAGTGAGGTGGAATAGTGGTAGAGATGTGGATTATCAGCATACATGTGCATGTTGACAGTTGCACATACAAATTTGTACTTTGCTTTAAGATCATAGCTGACAGTCAGATCTGGCTTGTTTAACATGGAGGTTAGTCACTGAACATACTCATAGAGGCTGCCAATGAACTTTTAATGAAAGAACTTAAAAGGCTCATTACATAAAAGAAAAACACAAACTACATTACCCTTTGCAACAACTAACTGAAATGAACTCATTAGAAACATCAGGAAAACAGATTCAACCCTTTTATCCAAACAATAACTTTACAGACATCGAACTTCAGTGAAGGGTCACCCTATTTCCATGCTTAAGCTCCTTGATCAATCGTGCCTGAAAGACCACAACACATAAGACAAAGGAGCAGAAATTAGGCTATTCAGGCCATACAGTCTGCTCCGCCATTCAATCGTGGATGGTAACTTTCTCAACCCCATTCTCCCACTCTCTCCCTATAACCCTTGATCCCCTTGACAATCAAGAATCTATCTATCTCTGTCTTAAATATACTCAATGACCTAGCCTCCACAGCCTTCTGAGGCAGTGAGTTCCATAGATTCACCTCTCTCTGGCTGAAGTTTCTCCTCATCTCTGTTCTAATGAGTCTTCCCTTTACTCTAAGGCTGTGCCCTCGAGTCCTAGTCTCTCCTACCAATGGAAACATCTTCCCAACATCCACTCTGTGCAGGCCATTCAGTATTCGGTAAGTTTCAATTAGATGCGCCCCTTCATGCTTCTAAACTCCATCGAGTATAGACCCAGAGTCCTGAAACATTCCTCAAATGAACTTTTAACGAAAGAACTTAAAGGTTCATTACATAAAGGAAAAACTTTCATTCCTGGGATCATTGTTGTGAACCTTCTCTGAACCCGCTCCAGGGCCAGTACATTCTTCCTGAGATATGGGGCCCAAAACTGCGTGCAATACTCCAAATGTGGCCTGACCAGAGACTTATAGAGCCTCAGAAGTACATCCCTGCTTTTACATTCAAGTTCTCTCGAAATAAATGCCAACATTGTTTTTGCGTTCCTAACTACTGGCTCAACATGCAATTTACCTTGAGAGAATCCCGGACTAGAACTCTCAAGTCTCCTGGCACTTCAGACTTCTGAATTTTCTCCCCATTTAGAAAATAGTCCACGCTTCTATTCTTCTTACCAAAGTGCATGACCTCACACTTTCCCATGTTGTAGTCCATCTGCCACTTCTTTGCCCACTCTCTTAACCTGTCCAAATCCTTCTACAGTTCCCCTGCCTCCTCAATAATACCGG